TCAATCATAATTGTGAGAACAAAAATGCGGTAAATAGCGATTGGGTGCGCAGATAAAGCCTGACTTTATTTTAGCCTCCAGACGTGATGACTCCTCTACTTTACCTAGCTTCTGTTACCCACACTATACAGTATCAACTCTAATATACAATCTAAAGATATATGTGAGAAAGATGTTATGGACAAAGCACAATAAAATCTCATGGTCTATTTTAAGACATCAAAAAATCAGAAATTTGTTGGGGGGTGTAACTCCTTGGGGGAGCTTGCTGAACCCCAAACACCAAAAACCGCTTCATGATTTCGACCACTACGAGTATCTCACCCTCACTGAACAGATTGGAGCCATCCTTTCAAACCGCCGAGCCATTTTTGATTTTGAAAATGGAGGGATTAAGTCCAATACTTAAATGCAAATTTTGAGGAGAAAATTTTGAAACTGACTCAGAAGCTTAAAGTGTGCAGAGCTTCGATGCATCAATATGTACCTTTCACACTTCTACTTTGCAGATGAACTTGATCGTGCGCATACGAAGGTGGTCGGTCATCTATGCCGGAATCGACGCCATCCTAGCATACGATGATATATTCGTCCTCCGTCACTATCGTCGCAAAGAAATGTGCCTTCATGTTGCGCTTGTATCTATCCACTCACGATATATACACCTGGTACAGGCGCGCATACTCTATCTTCATTGGGCTGGACGCGTCTCGTTATGGCCATGCGACCAGCACCATATCCGTCATAATGTTTACACGCAACTTATTTAGGTGATCTCAACGCCGCTCTTGATGATACCCTTGGCGCAGTATCTCATGATTTCACTGGTCTTGTGAAACCCGTCCTGTAGCTTAACATTCACAGACAGCGCATCTTCACAGTACTTGAACCAAATCGCTGGGACATGGCGTTCTGCTCGTGGTATTCGAGAAGATCGAGCGCTGTCAGCAAAGTCTACGTTATCGGCGATGGCTGTGTATGCGTGGGCTTTGCGGCTGACTGTCGCTTGGTAAGTAATCTCCTATCCAGGGTAGCGGTTGTGATGCGAGTCGAGAACCTCGATCCGGTTGACATTGCCATCTTCGATTAACTGATCTCGGGGTATCCAGATCGGGGCAGACCCGTCGATTCATGTCACATGGTACTCGAGACCACCCGAAACCATGCGTCGATTGTCGATGCAATCGATCTCTTTAACCTTCACGCTGGATCGCTCTCGTCGGACTCCTCGATTGGGCGCGATGTGTCGAGTCATTCGGTGGTGCGCTTCCGGATCGTATAGCGGCGGACCGTTGTTGCCCTACTGCTTAGAATAAGAAACAGCAGCATGCTCTCCATGGCTGTCACAGCTGTGTAGGTCGTCATTGTCCCAACCAGCCGCGTTGTCGCTGTATTAAGAGGTAGGAGGGACAATGACCTGCACAACCAAAAGCAAAAGTGACGTCAGTCACCTCATCACCGGTCAGTGAGTCAATCCGTGTCTGCCTCTACCCAGCTCTTGCCACCCTCGCCCGCACGACACATGCCTCTTTGTCTACCTCTCGGGTGCAGCCGAAAGCATGTCAGTCCGAAAAAGTGAGTGTGGTTGCGAGCCGGCAGAGACAGTTTGAACCCTACCATTGTGGCAGCGGTGGAATATTAATGCTGCAGGGTCATATTAGGTCCTCAGGGTTGCTTGGTGCGAGAATGTTAAAGTGATGAGAGAAAATGTATGGCGGCTGTCGACTGGAAAAATGCTCACATAGCATATCGCTACCCTGATATTCTCGATCGGTGTACATTTGCTTTAAATCAGACCGAAGATCAATGTGACCCTGCCGGCGGACTACAAAGTAGCCAAACGTTGTATGTGCCTCTATGGCTTTGATTGTGTGCAGTAGCTTGACCTTGGCTTCTTGGTCTTACAGTCGCAGCTTGAAGGACCAGATGTGTGCACTGAATGTTGCGAAGATTACTCTAAAGGCTAATGCAGCAGGAGTCGATTGCCTTTCGTGAAAGAAGCGCTGATTGCGGTCGAACCAAAGAATGTGAGGTGTTTCCGCGCACATTACGTGCTGCACATTGCCGACAACATCTTCGAAAGCTTTTCAGTCGTCGCTTACGCGCATCTTGTCGGCCAAAGTAGTGTCGAGCCATGTTGGTAGCGCAACAAATAACGGAGTCACAAGCACAAGAACGAGCCACCAGAGGTGCGATGGAAGGGTGTAGTCGGAGACCAAGGCTGCTCAGTCTATATGATATTTCTTTCACCCACCGAGAATATATTTGCGAATGCCTGAGTTTTGACGCCTTTAAAAACCAGTATTGCGAGCGGACTGGCAGAAGACGTAATGCCAGTCGGAGCTGCAAGTCTTCGAGGACAGGTAGCAGGGTCTTGCGCAAACACTTGCTGAAGTAAACAAACGACTCTTCAGGATGTGAAAAGCATAATTAATTATCGTTTTGCTATGACTGCGGCCGATCCGATGTAACGTGACCACATTTAAGGCTTATAGACCAAATGGTTGACCATGGGTTGTCGCTAGATGAAGAACTAGCCACTTCATAGTGTGTCTCGTCTACCTCTGTTGCGTTAGTCAGTACTGGCTCTCAGCCATAGCGTCGCGCACCCTGCACATGGCTCTCGATTTTATTGAGAAAGTCACTGATTGGCTACGAATCGTATATCATAAAGTCAATTTCTTTCGACTAACCCTCTTCCTTCGGACTATACCCACATCGTGATGGTGTCAAAGGCACCTGTGGTTCTCGCAAAAAATTTGTGTAAAAATGGGATAAATCCTGTAGAACCGTGTACTGCGTTATTTAGATGCAAGCTTATGGAATGGGAGCAACACATTCAGCACACGTGGTCTATTGGGAAAGTTTGTTGAAAGATACCCTCAAAAGCGCGATTAACGCGTTCTGTCTGGTCATCGATTGCGAGCAGTCGGCGGTTATTATACCCGATCTGGTGCCGAGCGCCTCGAACAATGTTAGCCTAACTCTGCTGTAAAACTCGAATTTTTATATGATAAATGAATATCGACTAGCAATGCTGGCGAAAACTTTGCTAAGGAACAGCTTAGCTGAATTCTAACTGGTCACTGTATCCCTGACAGTACAATCTTTTTCAGACAGTCCGTAAAAACACAATGCCGGCATTTCTGCGCTTGCTATCGGTATTGCATAAATGGCGTCCACACGAAGAACCCGAGACTCCGCCGGAACCAGTAGGCTGGTCAAAGTCTCGCCACGTGCGGTTAGGGTACTTATACATGCTGGGGTAGCAGGACATAGCGCTCACCAAGCAGTGTGTCTATTCTCTTCTGAGGTGGCTAGTATCATGTAGCTCGTCGCGATGTCATTAATCTTTGCTATGTAGCTTTCGTCCGACTCTCCGTCGTCTTACAGATAAAAAATCTCAACGATCTGGCCACCAACACACCAAATATAAAGCGCCTTAACAATCAGCTTTATAAAAATTCAAAACCTTCGGTTCACGGTAAACTTGTCATCGATCAAAACCAATGTAGAAGAGACTATAGGACGATTTGTTCATGATCCTTGCGTGAATCTGCTGATGCCGCTTCTTTTCTTAACATATATCTCTGAAAGAATGAAATGCTAATGCAGCTTCTAGCCGCACCAATACAATCATTTCCACATGATGTAAAAGGGAAGAACCGTTTGAGTGCAGTTCATTTATAAAACGTTGTTGTACCTCCGATGTAGAATCTATCAAGCATCTGTTAATCAAATCTTTTCTGAGCGACCATACATATTCTTCAGCGTCATCGAAATGGTGCCGTATTTTCTGATGGGGACGTCGCGAGCAATCCTCGAAACATCAGTCGTACTGTCCTTGAGACCGCCTCGAATTTTAAGTGCTCGACGAAAGGAATTCGTGAACAAGCTCTACGCTTAACGCCAATGCTTAGATGTGCAAATGAAAGAGATGAGATGATGCTTGACGGAATGGCCAGTACTCTTATGAATGCGAGTACTGAGTCCCTGATCAATTGTGAAGTTGCAACATTAAACGTTAAAACGGTGTGAAGGGAAGAAAGTGGAGATCATAGAAAGAAAAATGGAATCAGACGTTGAGTTCTGGTGTATTGAATTTGGATGCTTGCGAATGTAACGACTTTCAAGTTCATTACCGTGCAGGTAGCTTGCACCTTAAACTATAAGCTTGACCGTAGTATCATGACTGCACATCTCGCACCAGTCCCGACTCAAGTCAACTTCATTTACATCCAACTAGCTGGGCTATGTCTTGCCTTGAAGTGTTGACTATAAAGTCTTGCGTATGATGATCTGCTTTGTGAAGAATCGATAAAGCAAAAATCATTTTAATTTTTCAGGTGGACTGCAGGTGGACACATACACTTTTCTTTCTGTATGTAGATGTCGAGACGACAAGTCTATCTAGAAAGATAATCAATGCTAAAGATTCTAACGTCAAATTTATCATATGGCCATCAGCCTTTTTCTTGTAATATAGTAATCAACGCGCGAATGAGTTGGATGACGGCACTTTTGTTTAGAGTTCCGCGTGGGAAAGATGGCATGGAGCACAAGATATCTCACTAAATTAATGGCGCTTGTACTTGGGAGTAGATTATCAATTGTCGCCAGCTTGTGTGATGAAGATCATCTCAACTAATGAGTGTGTGTGAGGAAGGTGATCAGATATCGACAATCAGAGAACGACAGATATCGACAATCGTATGCTGTTGTAAAGGCAAGAGAGCGAGGAAACGTCGAAGCCTTTCAACAATTTTTTTGATAAGCCGGTCAGTCGTGTTGCAGTATTACAATGAGCAAGTGTTTCCGCTGGAAACAAGGGCAAAACAAAAATGTTGTCGTACATCAAGAGTCTACTAACGTAGTGCAGTTAGGTGATCTACCCCGTATGGATTGGAAAGGCATGCCTGTGCATTTAGATTAGCAAGCTGATAGACTTTGGTTTTGCCTCCACGCGTACACTACGCGTTTACTACGATCGACAAAAGAGTTCAAGATTTTATTAGTGCTGTAGCAGCGAGAAGAGCTGCCACTTTACTCTCGAGAAGCGACAAATCGTCAGGTGCAGCAAGTGCAATCTACACAGCACAAATATTAATAAATACACTTTACATCAGTTTGCACGTTTGGACTTACATCGGACGGCACTTCGTAAATGTAAGATTTGCCCATGGCATCTCCAGTTATCACACTCTTGCCGTCAGGGCTCCATCGAATCTTGTTTAGAGCTTTCTCACTAATCTTCTCCGAGATTACAGCAACTTCAACATCCTTCAAAATATTCCAGAAACTCGCTGTACCGCTACTGTCAGCTACCGCAAAGAGTGCTGGGTGAATTGGGGACCATCGCACATCGTTAACGTATTCACTTGAGGGCTCAAACGAAAGCACTGGAATGTCTGGACGCTCGAGACTCCAGAGCATAACTGACGAATCTAATGAGCACGTAAGCAACAGACTATCACGATGCATTGGCAACAACGGGTTAAAATGCATCGCTGTAACTGGTCCAAAATGAGACGCTTCTTTGGATACGGCCTCGACAATCACTTCACGGACGAGGTCACCCGTACTACTACCAAGTAAACTGCTTCTGTTCTTCTTGTCAATCTCTAAGCTAGTGCTGTCATCACTTACGCCACTCTTCTTTTTTGATTGATCCACTTTTGTCGAGTATAACTTACCCCTTTCGGTACCGACAAATAACTCTTTAATCTCTTTGCCTAAAACTGCAAACGATGTCACTGAGGCTTCCATTTTCTTGTCCGACGAATTGATGGACGAGTAATTGGATACGATTGAAAGAGCAATACGTAAATCCAGCATGTCCAGAGGCTTTTGCAGGTGATCAAGATCCCATACACACACCCGGCCGTCCGTACTTGCAGAGATAAGCCTATCATAATAAATATCAAGTTAGCGTCACAGGAAGAAACCAGATTATTAAAACGCTGCACTTACGTATACGACGTTTTGGTACCTGCAACAGCCATCGCGTAGATCGGATGTGTGTGGCTGAATGCTGATAATGCTGTCTTTTGAACAGGAGCATTCATCGCACGAGTATCCCAGACCACAACTTGACCTGAATAAGTACCTCCAATGATAATGTGACTATCAAATGGATTAAAACACGCGCTAGTAACCTGCGAGTGACATGTGAATCGATACTCAGGTCGGGTCGGCAAGGTTGTAGACCACAAAAGTACAACACCATCTGTGGTTGACGCCACTTGAGTAAGCGCAGCCATAGCAGACTTTCCTATCGTGTCCCAATGGGCCGTATCGCTATCATCTTTGTCTGCATCCTCTAGGAAATTTCGGGCAGAGTACGACACGAGTATCAGCTCCGGATAGAACGGAGAGACGTCGATATCAGTAACTGCACGATGTTTTGACCACTGAGGGTCCGTAAAGACGTACTGCTGCTTCAAGGATTCGGTGGCTTCTTCTACGGCACTATCAAGGTCCACGTCTGCACCGTAATCAACCATAATATCAAATTTCGTAGACGTATTTAAAGCACGCTCAATCACTCTCGAAGACTTAAGCAAAAAGGCCTCCATAGCATCAGACTGCATCAATAGACTTTTTTCCTCTTCTGTCAACGTGGTCGTTTCGGTGCTTGTGGATGTTTCCATTTCCATCACATCGCGATTCCCTGAAGAAGACAATCCATCCACATTATCCACACGCTTTGGTGACGTCGGAATCTTTGTATTGTTTGATTCTATATCAACGTTATCTCCTTGTGTAATAATTTCGTTCTCGAGCGTTATGTCCGTCTGTGTGTGTTTCGCATACATCTCAACTAGCGTCGGCTGGATATGCATCTCAGCCACACTATTAATCGTAGACAAAGACGAAAGCTTTTCCGCTAATGAAAGAGTGTGAGTCAATGCATTGTCATTGTTACCCTTCGTGTCCTCGTCTTTGGTCCGCTCCTCCTTGTCTGACGTCTTGAGGATATTTTGAATAAAATCGTCAAATTTGTTTTCCTGCTGGCCAATAGCTTCATTCACGCTCTCAGACGCTGTAGATGACTCCTCAGCAGCACGTACTGCGGCTTTACGCTTGCGAATCTCCTCTAGCTTTTTACGTTTAGCCTCCAGCTCCGCCGCGTGCTTGGCACGGACAGAATCCATTTTACTTAAGTATGCCCCCCTCAGATATTGAATATGGGACCTAATCACTAATTTCTCCTATTTAATGTAAGAAACATGAACTGCACACCTAGTCGATCAAAAATCTGATCTTAAGGCATTGAAGAAACTTTTCGACAAAGAGCACAGTGTTTGGTCTTTAGTTAAAGTCAGCTTCGATCCCTTCACATCATTTGTGCTTGCTTAGACTCGTTCTATGCAAACGACAAGGCATAAGAGCTCGATCACGCTCAGCTCTTTAATAATCCTAGACGGTATCCACCCAATTCTCATCGAAATGTCTGTCAAAAGCACATAGCTAGCTATGAAGCGCAAGGACTCACAAAAAAAGCAGCATAGAGCAGGATCAAATTCATGTGTCAAAAAGACTTTCCAAAGTGATTGAGGGATTGTGGAGCTAAAAAACGCAAACCTTTGCTTTGCGAAAGGTGAAAAACTTTGAGTAAGGAGCTTACATGAAGAAAATCGACGTGAATATCAAAGGTCGACGATTGGAATGGAGAGAGAAGGTTAGTTGTTGAGAAGAAGCGTTAAGCCTCTCAAAACGCCCAGTTTGTAGTGGCGAACACGGTTGAATTCAACCCAGTATGTTTTTAACCCAAGAGCCGGCAATTATTGGATCTGCTGAGAAGCGGCGGATTCATCTGAGGCGACGTGCTTGTTGATTCGGGATATGAAGCTAAGAAGAAGGTTACCTCGACGAAGCGAGGCTACACCATTTCGGGTGAGCTTGGAGTCAGATTGTAATCACACCACCACAGGAAATATTGGGTGTTCTGGATGTCAAATCTAATGATTGATCCTAATGGAATCACATATGAAACGGCAGAAAGAAAAGTTGATGTCAACGAGAGTCAATTAGGCTGTTTAAGTGTAACCGAGCCGTGTATTTTGTTTCGACAGCAATGGATCGTTTATTCGCTAAGATGTCTTCGCGAAGAAATTTACGAGTCACTTCGAATCGTCCAGAGCAAAAGAATGTGTTGTGGCTACAATCGCTTCTTCGCTATGAATTGACTTAAATTGTCATTCTCTGGTCGTCTCAGTTGATGTGTTACGATATCGATCCGATTGATGGTCCGGTCAAGATTCTTTCCTTGATCACTTTTTAATTTCACCCTTCATATCCAGTGCATTATACCGCAGAGGTTATGGGAAATTCATTCAGCTGTTACAAGACCAAGAAGCAGAATGAAGTCGAGTCAACACAAAGCAATGTAAATGCACCATACGACGTTCCTGATATGAGCAGTGAGGCTCATATTGAAACTCCTCGTCTACTCAATCAAGATAGCAGAAAACATGATTTCAGCGACGATCTTGAAACCGTGATCTCTATGACGCACGAAACAGATAACATAACGTTTCAATAGCAACTTTGTGATATGATTACACGAAATTTTTTTTGCATTCTTGATTATATGAGTATTGTTGTGTACGCACACATGGAACTATTGTCACAAAATTTGATTCGTCTCAAGTCTAAAATATGACTTGCGACTTGGTTAACCAGAACAATATTAGGTGTTTGCGTATTAGGTAAAATGGAATAACCATTGTACTTTTGCAACGAATCTAGGAAGCTGACCCGGATTTGAGAAGTAACGTCGCTCTGTTTGTAGTACGTGGTGGCATGAGCAGCTTCTCAAACATCGTGATAAGCATCGCACTTAAATATCAACATTTTAAGATTCTTCGCAGCAGCATTGTCAATGCTGCTAGATATCGTTTAAATGTTGACGAAGTACTTGTGATTTTCGCGCGGGGTTATCAAAGCTCTATCAGTATTCTTTTTGACCTAACACTTTTCTCTGTACCGTTGAAGAAGATAATAGTTCTGTAGCAGATTTTGCTTAAGGCTCCGCATCTTATCTGACTAGTTTAACAGCCGTGGTCAAATGAGCGTCATCACGCTAAGTTTCGAAACAGCTCAAAAAGCGTTTCTAGAAAATATATGAAGCATACAACGAACCACTCGTTCTGCAGAGTCACTGCTTGCGTAATGTCGCCTTACTTGATATCTGACGTTAAAATCTTTAGTCACCAATAACTATCTTGAAGGTACAAACATATCTATCGATAAATCAGATCATCCTCATTTCGTCACATCACCTCTGGACCTAAGTGACTCAATCCTTTTAAGTTCTGCACTGAACGTCTCTACCAAACTTCAACATCGCGTGGAATTTTTATCGTGTTGCATATTCATACATTCAAATTGCTTTGCAGACTTCTATAAGTAAAAAATTTACTTTTCAAATTCTTATTTCTCAAGACATGTGCTTCTTGGAAATCGATATGGACAAGTCTTCCTTTGATTTATCAAAAAGAATAATTTAGCTATACAGCTTCATACCCATATGGAATTTCTCATCTGGATCTGCGTTAAATTGACCAATGATTTCACCATGTGCTAAATTGTATACATGGCTTTGCTAGATGCTGCGCTCACCGGATGTCGCCAAATACCATGCAACTCCATCCGTCGATTTGAGCTGCACCGCACGAGATCTCTACAACCGGCCATAATCAAACTCTCCCACAAATATATTTGTATTGTCTCAAAAGTATATCATGGTGCTTCAAGCTCAGCGGAAGGCGTTTTTAACCATGGAAGATGTGAATGCCATCTTCACTATGATTTGCAGCTTCTTTGGTATCGGAACGCTCTCCATGCCGTCAAACTTTGCTCGTGCGGGACCTGTATATGGCACATTTGCCATGCTTCTCATGGCGTTTGCTAATATCTACGCAACGATCGCTTTATCCCGAGTGATGCTCGTTGCGCCGGTATCTGTCCGAACATTCACAGACGTTGGTGACTGGGTCTTTGGCAGACCTGGACGCTATGTCGTGATTGTATCCCAATTACTTGTTTGTTTGCTTGTACCTTGTACGTTTTTGGTGCTCGGGAGTACAATATTGAACGTTCTTTTCCCGGATACTTTTAGTCAAAGCTTTTGGATCATCTTTATGGCTATCACAGTAATTCCCTCGTGTTTAATACCGACATTGAAAGAAGCAAGTCTTGTAGCGTTTGTTGGATGTCTTTGTACATTTGTCGCTGTTGTGGTTGGAGTTGGAATTTTGGAGTGGGAAATGCGCGGTCATCCATCTGTCCCGGCACCAAATATAACGCTGCATCAAGTACTTACAACATTTGGGAATCTGGCGCTGGCGTACGGTGCGTCCATTATTGTACCCGACATACAGCGTCAGCACTCAGATCCCTCTCGCATGAATCGAATAATTCTCGTCAGTTTGATAACGGGCTCAATCTTTTTTTTAATTGTAGCCATCGTTGGATACGATGCTGGTGGGTGTCAATTATCCATGAATCTCTTGGTTTCGATTGTAAATATATCAGATCCAACGTCGCCTTCAGCTTTAGGTTTCATCCCTCATCACGGTGCTGTGATCTTGGCGTATATATCCATGCAAATTCACGTTGTCATAGCCTTTTCAACGATTATTTACCCGTCGTTCTACATGGCAGAACGAGTTCTTCTTGGGATGCACAAAACGGTTTCGCTTATCAGCTCAGAAAAAGAATATGAAAGAAAATCAAGTACCCGTGGCCAAGCCACAGCCGATCTTGAGGGTGACTTTAAGCTTAGTGATTTAAGTACCCCGAGCTTTACACTGATGGCTGAACACCAACGGGAAGATTATGTTTTGCAGGAAGTCTCAGCGTATCGAGGTACAAGTACCATCCTTCGTTACGTGACGTTACGTCTGTGCATCATTGCAACGCTAGTGGCAGTGTCTATCAGTCTTCGCAACAATTTTTTTCATCTTGTGGACTTTACAGGTGCTTCAGCTATCACAATCTGCTGTCTCGCTCTACCTCTGTGTTTTTATCTCAAGGTTTTCTGGAATGAACTACCTGGGTACGAGCGTGTCATAGCCGTCGCGATTCTCCTCATTTGCTGTGTTGTCGGTTGCTACGTCATGATTATTGCCGGAAAATGTCTCTTTGACCCAATTACTGAGACTGCTACATTTCCATACTGCCCAGTCGAGAATCAGATGGAGCCATACTACGTTCGAGACTCGTCCATTCGATTGTAAAAACTACCCGATTAGTGCATCTTGTAGAACTAACTAAATAAAGTACATTTATATCTCTCGTTTATTATCAGATTTACGCAATCACTTTTGGACCCATGTCAAAATGAAATTCCTTGTGAGAGGGACGGCTCTGATCCTGATGAATAGGTACGGTCCACATCTCTTGGACTGGATGGTTTGCAGCGTACTGTAACAGTGGACGATCTGCTCCACTTGCACTTCACCAACAGCCAACAAAATTTACTGATCCCGTCTGCGATGGTCTACACTCTTTAATATATCATCTCCCCCTTTCAAGATCGGGATGGCACAAACGCCGTTCCTTACGATCGAAGATGCTAAAATCGGTTTTAATATCTTCTGTTGTTTCTGTGGAATCGGATCCCTTTCGATGCCATCCAATTACGCGCGAGCGGGACCAATACATGGCACAATAGCACTTTTACTCATGGCATTTGTAAACATCTACGCTACGATTGCTTTATCTAAGGTCATCTACACAGCTCCATCATCCGTCAAAACATTTACTGATGTCGGTGCTTGGGTCTTGGGCTCCACAGGTCGCTACGCTGTCATGATATCCCAGATGCTTGTCTGTCTACTTCTACCGTGTGCGTTTTTAGTACTCGGAAGTATCCTTCTCGATGTCTTGTTCCCAAACGCATTCAGTCAGATTTTTTGGATGATATTTATGGCGATTACAGTCATTCCAGTGTGTATGATTCCCACTTTAAAAGAAGCCGCCTCCATTGCGCTCGTTGGATGCATTGGCACAATCACAGCAGATGTCGTTGGAGTCATGATTTTAGAATGGGAAATGCAAGGCCATCCGTCGATTCCAGAGCCTAACATATCGTTCCACCAAGTGCTCATGGCTTTCGGCAACCTCGCTCTATCCTACGGGGCCGCGGTGGTACTACCGGATCTCCAACGGCAACATCCCCAGCCAGAACGAATGCCACGCATAATTTTCATCAGCATGACTACTGGTACGGTCTTTTTCTTAGCCATTGCTATCGCCGGGTACGCTGCTGGTGGGTGTCAACTCTCGGGTAACCTTCTGTTTTCAATTGTTAATGCGTCGGACCCGTATGCTACGTCGGCGCTGGGTTTTATTCCGAATCGTGGTGCAGTTATTATGGCATATATGTTCATGCACATCCATATTGTCATAGCATTTTCGACAATTATCATGCCGGCATTCTACATGGCCGAGCGATTTATATTGGGTATGCACAAAGATCAATCTGTGCTTGATGAAGAGCAAGGAATTGACATGCGTGAGAAGCCCTCATCTCTAGCAAATGCGTCAAATTCTGACAGTAATTTTGCTGCCTCGATTTCGCCTCAAGTGGCGATCAAGTACGAGGACGAATCAGCTGAGTACCGTGGCAAGATCAATACCATTCGGTACATCCTTCTTCGTCTGATTATCCTCACGCTGCTTGTTGTAGCGTCGATTTTCCTCCGCGGAAAATTTCTTGACCTTGTTGACTTTACAGGTGCCTCAGCTGTAACTGTTGGTAGTATCGTACTCCCTCTGCTGTTCTACCTCAAAGTCTTTTGGAACAAGCTTTCGATGCTCGAACGCACTGGCTGTATACTCATCACTGTTGTGTGCTCAATTCTCGGCATATACGTTATGATCTATGCCGCCATGAACCTATTTACCCCCGAAACGAATACGACGACGTTCCCATACTGCTCTGACGCGTATCAGGCGGACCCATACTACATTCGAGATTCTACCTCGAGTTAAGAAAGTTAGTTGATAATTAGTAACTTCAACATGATGACTTGTTTTTGTGAGACACATTTGACTGATCGCATGTACAGTATGTTTTGACGCCTCAAAGTCGAGCGCGTGGCCATTAATTAGACGCCTGTCAAAAGGCGTCTAATCCGTGTTTAGGGTAGTAAACATAGATTTGGGTTTTTTATGAACCCATCTTTTTCGCTAAAATAATGTGCTTTCATTATGTCCAACTGGGTCATTTAAGCGACATGTAAGGAAGGATTCCTTGAACATACATAATGTATGCATTGCTTCGCCGATTACCTTACTGATAAAGTCTCACTCTGTTAGGGTTTGTCCATTAAGTAAATTGATAGTTCTGTAGATCAATACTGCTAGAAACACAGGCGGTTTGCGCAACACTTCGAGACATATAGAGTTAAAAACATCATGACCAAAGTCTCATCTACAGCCAAGCCACTCTTCTTCAACTTGGTCACAACTGCATCCAGCTTCTATTTCTGCCTTTCGCATTTCAATAGTTGCTTGAGAGTAGATGCACTGTATACGCCCCATATCCTCGTTAAAGCAAATGCCAATGCCTTTATCATCAGATGTGCATCTGCGGTAGAGCACACCAGCACAAACATCCATGAACGTTCGCATATGCTTTTCCAAACGAGTGTGTGGACATATCGCTTGAGTCGGATCACAGAAGTTTGATACATTCGAAGCAAATCGACTGATGACGGAAAGCGTCGTGGATGACGGCAAAAGTGCTTCTTCAGCAGGCATAGATAGACAAAGTGAAGGCAAAGATTGAGAATCTTTGCTACGGGGATTCTCGCAACAGCTTTTGAATGTCGTATTGCACCTACCTCCATTTAAATATCCATCGCAACAGACTGCAGAATCTTGAACAAACAACATCTCTAAAGTATCTTGGAATTGCTCAATGTCTGGAAGGGTACGAATCCGATAGAGTCCTTGTAATGCCAAAACCTGTAGTGCTTGAAGGTTTTCCATCAAAGGAAGACTTGGAAGTGAGTCGAGGTAGCCAAAATAAACACTTTCGAGAGACTCGAGTCCAAGTATTGCGGGAAGATTCGATAAATTAGCGTGATTTGAGAGGTACAACGTGTGGAGATGTGTCATTAAATGAAAAAAATCGATTGGTAATTCGATGAGATTGAGCTCGGACGAGTCACCCTCAATGTGGCTAACACATCAACAACATGATTTGAGATCAATTTGTACACTACATCTACATACACTGACTTACAGATATTCGAGCCTGGAAAACGAAGTTGATGACCATGAAGGGAATTTGTTGACGCCTGTGTGAATTAAGATCCTTTGGGATATACGTCAGCATTAGCCCCAATGTGAAGACTAGACGATACGTACAGATGTCGAAGATCGTGACATGTTGCTAGCTCATCTGGAAGCGATCCATTAATATTGCGATTTACCACTTGTATACTTTGAAGTTTACCAGCACCGGACAATTCAGCCAACGTCTCTGTGATATCCGCGAATGTTTCAAAGCCTGCAGGTGTGAGATCCCGATCGACGTAAGCGAGACAATGACATTTCTCGCTGGTTTGATCAAAAAAATACTGAAAGCTAAACTGAACGCACTGTGGATATGAGGAGCATGAGGTGCGTGACTGACGCACGGCGCAAATAGTGTACGCGATACAACCGAACCCATACACAACAAACAGAAGACCGACAACACTTCGGAGTATTTGACGCTCTGGCTTCGAAAATGTATGTTTTGAACTGAAATTTCGAACAATGGAACTTCTAGCATCCAAAGGTGTCACGCAGTTTCCACTTTCTTTTGAAACCCCGGTGAGATCATTTGCTGCAACCTTAGCAGAGACATAGCTGAAAAGTTGATCTTTTTCAAGAAGAACAAAAGTAATCCTGGTCCATCGCAGACAAGCAAGCAAGCTGAAACTCAATTTTATGACGATGTCCCATTCGCTACGAATCAAAAGGCTCTCAAAATTTGTACTAAACTGATTGAGCTTTATTGCGCTGACATAGTTTCGAGCTTTGCGCTCAAAAATATGAGGAGGAAAGTATTGCTGACGAATTCTCACCAATTTGAGCTCATCTTGAAATACGAAAAAGGAGTAAGACAAGATGAGGGCAGGAAAGAATACGGCGCACACTGCATCGAGTCTGTGTGAAAGAAATGGGATCAGAGTTTGCTTATCAAGCAAATTAATCTCTAATTGATTAATCAGACGCACATGGAATCTTTCAGTGTGTGATGATATACTGCTTCACTCCATCGAAATTGCATTAAAATAAAGACAACAAATGCGTTTAAAGCCATGAGAGAAGCGTAAACATAAAGAAGCGACGGATCTAATCCTTGTGCCATATGCTCCCGCAGTGTTAGTATTTGCAAAAGCACTTCAGGAATCTCCATAAAAACATTCTAAGAATTAAACTCGATTAGTATAATGATCAGCTATTCATTGTACGCTTTGTCTGTTCCTTACCCACACTTTACGATACGTGCCATCACCTAAACTTACGCCGCAAAAAAACTGCAGCACCTTCCACAGCATTCCTCGCAATTTTTTACCTAAAGTAAAGAGAGTTATATGCTTGTAATCCAAATTTCTCACTCTCTGCCGTCTCAACGTTAAGCCATTACGATGCTGTGGCTGAAGAAGTAGCAAATATAGTAGATGCCAATACACTATGACGACTACAGCTTGTAAGGCTATGGCTGTTGCTTGGATGGAAAATCGTGTCTTTCGAGATTGCCAAAAATGTCCGTGATCCAAGCTTTCTGCCTGTAAAATGTAATTCGCACTTGCACCAGGCGCAAGATTCAAGACAATTGAAAGCAATCCCCATGCACTTGATAGCGAAAAGATAATAATCATCAGAACGACGTAGCGCCAGCCAATAGCGGAAAAACGGCGCTGCCTCCCTGTCCACCATGATTCGCAACCAATTTCAGTTTTCACTGGATTTCGCGTCAAGTCGTGCTTGAATGGAATTGAAGGACCTTGATCTACTTTCCATCCGCGGGAGAAAAACGGTGCCATCCTACTAAAAGCCAAAGTATCGAGTACTTTGTACTAAGCGGGTCGTGAAACGGCATTTCTTGAAATTTATTAAAAGATATGCCAACGCTGGTGAAAGTGGAGTTCTAAACTTCTCTACCTTTCTATGACTACCAGGTCTTAGGTTTTCCCATTTGCAAGCTGGAAACAGCGTGACATTTTTGTGACGGGGGGTGCTATGGCGAAACAAACAGCCACAAGCTGGACACTCGCAGCTGATCGCTAGCGCGACAATTGCTATGTCAGCATTACTGGGAAGAACAAATTAACGAGAATCAAATTATTTGACTCTAGACCATTGGATCCCACACATGCTGTATCTTTGTTGCTATTGCAGGATCCTATCAGACTGTGCTGACTATTGAGAGTCGCTGTCGGCGCTCGTGTATTTGACGGTATTATTGCGTATGTTTAATAGTTTGACGTGAGTAGCCAAGTCAGCAATGACTTTTAGCGGTCAGACAGCAGTAAGTCTGAAGATAGCAGTCAGTTTTTGAAGTATTGAGTAGCGCTTTTTTATAACTGTTGAGCTATGGCGCAACGATTGATTCAGCACAATCCTTCCGGACGCGTGTGATGACTAAAGAATCTCAAAATCTGGTCGTCAGCGCAAGCAATAAATACAAATTATTGTTGTAAGGATGCGTAATCCATTCACGCCTTGAACAGATCTAAAAAGGCACCAAGTCAACTGTAATGAATTCTTCGATTATTTTATTTACGTAGTTGTCGTGTCTCGCACGTAGTACGGGTCCGATTGATACTCTTCTGCACAGTATGGAAATTTAAGATTGTTTACGTCTGGATCAAACAAATTCTTGCCAGCATCAATCATGACGTAGCAACCTACGACGGTACATACGACAATGACCACAACCGCCAGAATGCATTCACATAAAGATAACTCGTGCCAGAATACTTTGAGATAGAATGCAAGTGGTAGTACCAAACAGCACACGGTAATAGCAGATGCACCTGTAAAATCCACGAGGTCCAGAAAGTGTGAGCGAAAACCAATAGCAACCACTACGAGAATTCCCATGATCACAAGACGCAGAGTCACGTAACGAAGGACATTGTTTGAGCCAGTGTAATTTAACAATTGAGCATCATCATGCTCCTTCTCTCTGAGCTCTTTCTTGGCTGCAATCAGTAGTGCGTTCGACTCCAAATCTCTTGTTGCTTGTTCGTTGACGCTAGTGACCGGATTTTCGCTAGTGAAAGGATTCTCCAGCGACGATTGCTCCCATTCCCCTTCACCTTTTGTGTGTATAGCTCCTTGCTCTTTATGCATTCCAAGAAGGAAGCGCTCCGCCATGTAGAATGGTGGGTGTAGTACTGTTGATAGAACAATTACCACATGTAAATGCATAAAGAGATACGCAATAGTAACGGCGCCATGATCTGCGATGAAACCAAGAGCTGAAGGCAACGACGGACTGGCAATATTGACGATAGAAAAGAGCAAATTTGCAGAGAGTTGACAACCTCCAGCCACATAACCAGCGATAGCTACACCCAAGAAAAAGAGCGACCCAATTGTAAGACTCACAACAATCACGCGAGGCATTCGTTTTGGTTGCGAGTGCTGGCGCTGCAAGTCAGGGATCAAAACAGCGACACCATAAGCAAGCGACAAGTTCCCGAATGCAGTCAAAACTTGATGGAATGAAATATCAGGAGCAGGAGCGGCCGGGTGACCTCGCATATTCCATACGAGGATACTCACGCCAGCAATATCAGCAATAATTGTACCCATACAACCAATAAAAGCGACCGCTGCTGCAGCTTTTAACGTTGGAATCAAACAAGCAGGTATCGCTGTAATAGCCATAAAAATGATCCAGAAAATCTGGCTAAATGCATGTGGGAACAATACATCGAGCAATGTACTACCAAGGACCAGAAACGCACATGGCAGCAGGAGACAAACGAGCAATTGAGATATGTTGACGAGGTAACGTCCAGTTTTGCCAAACACCCAGTCACCCACATCACTGTATGTCTTGACGGATGGTGGTGCCACAAGAATGACACGTGACAGCGCTACAGTTGCATAGATGTTAGCAAAAGCCATAAAGAGCATGGCGAGCGTACCACATATGGGTCCAGCTCGTGCAAAGTTGGAAGGCATAGCAAGTGTGCCGATACCACAGATACAACAGATGAGTGTAAAACTTATTTTTGCATCTTCAAGCGTGAAGAAAGCTGCTTTCGTGGATGAAGTCATTGAAGAATGACGACAAAAAATAATGATCGTGGCACTTGTCAACTTGATTGGCTTTCGAAGCGAACTTGAGTAAGAGCCGGACTCTCACTGGCCTATGTAACTACGGAAACATACTGTCACTTCTGTCTCACTGACTTATCACCCAATGCCATGGATTCTTAGAAACACCCATTTGAAAAAAGGAGAAATGGGTGTTTCTAAAAATGATCAATTTTTAGAAGCTGGAATTATCTCATGTCAGTCAACTTCATAAGCATCGGAGGTGGAGGTGACGCGCGTCCGGCCCGAAGCTTAATTTATCAAAGATGCTTTGCTCGTGTAGCACCGTTGCACGCCTTTTACTGCAAAAATTATATGCTTTCTACAAACTGAAAGCCTTTAAGATGGCATTAAATTCTTCGTATATTAAATATACCATGGATACAGTATCTCTACAGATTAATGGCGCTTTGATGAAAATGCAGGTGCTGCTTTGGCGGAAACTTCAAATTTGAGCTGACAGAGCCCCGCGAAATAAGAATTTGATTTGCAAACTGTTTAGAAAAGGTAAGGCGTGGGATTGTCTAATGAGAATCAAAACTAGCCTTCAAATTAATGTTGTTAAAAGTGATTCACTTTTATTTGTACTTGTGCATAATCTATCGAAGTTTGAGACAAGTAGATTAATTGGCAGAATAAAAAAATCTACCAGATAAACAGAAAAATAAAAAATTTACCAGATACTTGTGCATAGTCTATCAAAGTTTGAGACAAGTAGATTCTTATTCAGAATAAAAAAATCTACCAGATATTTGAAGAATTAAAATACCTACCAAAACTATATGTATGTTTATTTACATATTTGTGATGTCAACAACAGTGTAAGAATACATCAAGTGCGCAGAAAACATCGTGATGTCTTGTGGAAATTGCCATGAAAAGCATGTTTATAATCTCTTTCATGAGAATAATTTGCAGACAATATTATAGATTACGCTTCTTGAATGTTCGCTATATGCTGCTGCAAATGTTGATTCTTAGCCTACAAATGGTGTAACCATTTGCAAGATGTATACATGTCATATACACCTGGTATCTCTATTTTTAATTTTTTGTCTCCCGAAATAAATACATACCGATTGAAATTTATCAATTTCAACAATCAAACCTGAAATCTGAAATTGAAAAGGATAGGATGATTAAATGACCTAGCGGCTTTGTTAGACTACCTTCTTTGCCTCACAATTTCAACTTGATAAAGACGATGTACTTTGCGTATCGTTGGCGAAATGCAAACGTGTAATGCAGACTGTCTCATTGAAATCACATTTAAACCTGCTTGATAAATTTGGAATGATGATTAGAAAACAAGTATGTATTTTGAGATTTTTTTTGTTTTGAAAAAAAATCTCAAAATACATACTTGTTTTCTTTGTCGCGAAAGTAGTATCATATCCAAAGCAAATTTCAAAGAAGTGCTACGAATCTTATTACTTTCGTTTCCTCTTCGTCGGCAGCAACTATACCCGAGGAAGCTCATGAGAACCAGCCGTAGAACGAGTCGTCATCGGCCGGCATAGCTCGAGGAACAAGAAGAAAAGCAATAATATTCATGCGAGCGATCGTGGTCCGTGAGCTTACTTGTGCTGTGCCCGGTTTATAGTGAAGTGGGAGGGATATCCTCACCTCAAAAAAAAGACTCAAACTTGAGGTTCCACGTAAACAAGACTTCGTTGACGCAGTTATTGTTTCTGACTCGGCACACTCTTCGTCTTGACCTTCTCGGGAGAAATGGCAGGGATCACCCAGCGCAACGTTCTTTCTACTAACATATGGGCCTGGCCTCGTCCCACGTGCTTCAAGGTTAACCGTACTCTAATATGAAGGGTGGGTCACACAAGATGGTGTGACCATACAAGGGTCTGGTTTACACAAGACGGTGTAATCACACAATGGCGTGGCTACACCTTAAGAAGAAGTCAGTACGTGGTTGGACTGTCAGTAGGTATGCATTTTGATTAGATTAATGCTGAAAATCTGTAGAATTAGATATAGGCGGCTTTGCCGCAAATGAAATCAAGATATACGATTTACATTCTAGACAGAAGAGATTATTTGCCGTGGGTTAATTAGGGCTGTGGTTAATCTTGGAGTAAGCGGATTGCGATACGCTACTCTAAGTATAGAACGAATGTCACCGACCTTAACCAAGCTTTTTCTAAGCGAAAGAACTACGGCAGCCCTGCTGCAGTCTGTCGACGACATTCCTTCCTCAATCGGTGTGCAGTTGATTGCGATGCTCTCCGTATTTCTGCTTTAGTTCAGCTGGTCTTAACAGAGGGTATGAATTTTATCTGATTGCTGTTGTTATAGACACCTAGAAAGTGAAGACATGGGGACTGGAAGCGATCGTGGAGCAAATGTGGGTGAATTTAATCATAATCACGACGTGATAATCTTAGCTAATGTAGTTGCAATTCTTGCGCATGTTGACGAGCCATCTTGCCATGATGGGCTTGGTCAAGCTCAATACTGACATACCCAAAGTCAGATTAAAGATGCGGAGGGGTATCTAAACTCTTATTTCTTAGAAAGCTGCGCGGAACACGCGCCACCTGCAGAGGGGGGGATGGAGCGACGAGTTTTCTATCAATTAGTGAGTGTATGTCTTTTTGTGAGGAAGGTGCAGGGAGGAACTCGGCGGGTCAATTTTGTCCATTGACATAAATCCCTCAACTTTCTTTCCGAGAATCGGCCGCAAGGATGACGTCGTTGTCTAAGCCATTGAAGCAGAACTTTCGATACGGCTGAGGCTCGTAGAAGCGGGTACTGCGTGATGCAAGTGAAAGACGATATTATAAGCACAGTGGGTGCTTGTTGGTCGTCCGCTCTGTGCATAATTTACGAGAAATGAAGTATCTTTGAGCCTGACTGAGGTCCACATATTTGTGGGTTCGCACAATATTATGAGGTACGCACACAATACACTGCTCTACGGTACCGAAGCACTGGGACTGCAGCGGGGCTGCCATAGCTAAGCGCTTGAGGAAGCGTACTTTAGGTCACCGACCTTTCGTTCTTTACAAGAACCAAGTATGAGTTAGCGGATCGCAATCCGCTTACTCCAAGAGTAATTATTTCCCAAGGCTAACAGACTCTTCGGTTTAAATTCAAAAAAAAATATTTATTATCCTAATTTTAAAAGTTTAGATAGTCGTAAATACTAAATATATACAGTAAAGTCTAAATACATGCATAACTACTGGCTACCTAACCCCGTACCGTATTCTTGTTTGGGTGCAGTCACGCCATGCACATCTCGTGTGACACACACCCCTGTTATTAGGGTTCGTGTAAACCCGTTACACCCTTTCCCATTAAGATTGAGAACATTTACAGGATTATTGCCTCGACGAGGCTCGCGTGTCCGTTATACACTGCAACTCAATTTGTTGGATCTTCCTTGCTCAATGAGCCCTGAGTCCACGACACAAGTCTCGCTGGTTCTAACAGCGAGCACGGGCAGAGCCCAACTTTGTCCCCCGCACGTAATGCGATGTCGGACAGTGCGTCCGCGGCACCGGGGGATGTATATCCTAGGCTCGATGAGCACAAACGTCGCGCTCCGCGCACGCTTTAAGTACCGAGTGGTCTCGTTGAGGATGTGGTCGGCTATGAGTGTGACACCTCTTTTCCCGCTTGGGATGACAAGGAATGCGAGCTGCACCAGCAGCGTGATACGATCCCTTCTCTTGCCTTGCGGACCCCATGTCCGTTCCTTGACTTCTCGTCAGCTAAGAATCGCGGTGTAATCACAAATGACCTCGACGGGAACAGAGGCGGCAGCTTGAAGTTGCCCCTAAGGCGGCTTTAAAGCGCGCCCATACACGGTCGGTCATGACCCTCGTGTGGAATATGGCTTCCGCCCTGCGGATCCCCCTGTGAAAGCGAAGGGTGCTGTAACTAGATCGATACGCGTCCACATCATCGAGGTCCCGGCCAAAACGGAAGATGAACTTGCCACACGGAAAGTTCTTCGAGCTCGTTTCTTGGTCCCACCAGAAATTCCGTTAGACGTTAGAGGTGGCTCTCGTGTACCCGTGATGCGGGCAATACCTGTAGTGCTCGCCCCTGGCGAAAACACTACAAATTACGAAGTGCTCTTTGAGAGATGAGTGCAACGGCACCGAAAACTTTCCTCACTGCATAACCTACAGTCGATCCATAAGGAAGCGGACGTGCGTGTGGAGCGACACCTCCGAATTGAGTTTGCCAAACTCAAGGCACGCCGCTGACTTCTTTCGGATTGTCGCCCTGCGTCGTGTGGGTTAACAATCCCTAATGCCCCCGCGATCTCTGTGTCTGCGACCGCAAGAGCTCAGTGTCACTGCTTGAGCTCATGGCCCGTCTATTTCCCTGACTATTGCCGGAAAGCGCGGAGCGTCTGATGACGCGGGACGTCCTGATCTTTCCGATCAAAAGCGTCCAC